TATTGTTTAACAGTCATTCACATGCTGATGATATGTGCTGTCTATCACTACTCTGTTACAATCATTTCAGTTAGTAATATTATTTAAATGGTATTATAAACCAGACAGAAAGATAGAAGAAAAAAAATAAACCTCCATAAAACTACTGTCCCCCTATTCAAGTGTCCTCCTTCACTCTCTCACTGCACATAGTCCTTCTGTTATATTTACAGAACAAACAATGATTGACTGATTCAACAAAGCAAGTCTGTACAAGGTCATCTATATTCAGATATTTTAGTTTTACATTATAATTGACAGAAATGTTTAAAGGGCTCATATTAGACTATTTTCTGGTCTATGGTATAATGTTGCTTCCTCATCAAAAACATACCTGTTTGATCCACACATATTTTGCATATTCAGCCATTTAGAACTCTAAACACAAAACACTCTGATCCATCTTATGGTGATACAGGTAGTGCTCCACTGTGTTTTTAAACTCCTTCACTGGAATCAATTCAAACCTTTGACTTGATAACATTTAAAACTATGAATATTCAGTCAGTAGCTGAGCTCTGATGATTTATATATTTGATTATTTGTCATGGACTATATGCATTTATATATATATATATATATGAATATTTACATTATATGCATGAACATTCCTCTAAATCTAAATTACTCTGAATTGCTAAGTGTTAAAATGTCACCTTAAAAAACAAACAAAATCAATAATAGTGTGATATGTCTCAGTGCCATAGAAGGCTTGTTTTATTATATTTGTGAGTAGATTTTGCATGCTTTTATTTGCCGTTTTTATTTGTTTTTGCTGTGAAGTCATTTCATTTTTAAGCCTACATTAGCACCGCCCTATACCCCCATCCAACTTCTCTGCCAATGAGTATCTGTAGAAACTAAGGCACCTGGAGCAGGGCGGCTAGAGAGGGAAATAAAAGGGAAAACAGGATCCTGACCAAGAGAGTGGACCTGGAGTTGAGCGCACTCTGCTAAAGAGGAGTCACTGCCATAAATAGGTGCACCACGACGTCAGCGCACCGCAGAGCACCGCAGCAGCAGGCAGAGGCGTACCTCAGAGGCGGAGTACCGCAGAGGCGGAGTTTCTCCCTCACTTGATTGAACCCAATTTGGATTTTAATTTCCTTTTTTTAACAACAATCCAACCATGGTACATTGCAATAGAAAACATAAAAGGATGTTAGGAAAGAAAGGATAATGTGTACAGATTATATTCCATTAAATACATTGTAGAAAATGTATTTAGTCTTGTATTAATCATAAGGTAATACATTCAGATTGCAAAATGATTGCAAAGTTAAATTTGTAGTTTCAGACAAAATAATCTTAAAGTCTGAACTGAACTCATGTTGGAAAGATCTTCAGTAGACATTGTTCATGTGCTTCAGTCTGGTCCAGTGTCTCCTGCTCCTGTCTGCTCTTCTCTTTTTAAGAGTCTAGGATCTAGTTTCACTTTCAGTTTTGTTATGTCACATTCTGCTTCCGAGAAACGCTCTGATATAAAGGAAATCCTGCTGGAGGATATTTAAATCCATATAATATATTCTACAAAATATTCCATGAAATAAAATATGTCCAAATTTTCTCCTTTTATGTTTCTATTACTGCTGTGCTTGGTTTTTAGGGTGACTTTTTCACAATTAACCCTTCAGATCAATTCTGATACATTTACAGAAATGTTGAGAAATGCATAAGGATGGGTGGGATGGCACCATGACAGCAAGGAATACTGTGGCTGGTTCTGCAACAGGGGCATTAGTTGGTTCACTCCATGGTCCGTTTTGGGCATTAGTAGGTGTGATAGTTGGAGGGAGGACTGGAGGAGTCACAAATGAGCCATGTGACTGATACTGAGGGATGAGAATCCAAACAAGGAGAAATGATCACAAACCTATGACAAAAATATCTATCAAAATCGTTTAAGTCACAGGTGTCAAACATAAGGCCCGGGGCCAGATCCGGCCCTCCAAGACCTTTAATCTAGCCCTTGGCTGATTTTCTACTAAAATATTTTAATTATATTTTCTATTAAAATAGTATTAATTTTCTGCGGTGTTCATCACAGCAGCGTCTCCAGCATCTCTGTACGTGGCCCCTCCCACCAGAGCAGCACAAATGAAAACTTTTCTCTTTCCAAACACTCTTAAAGGACGATCGTTTTGACTGTTGACTGTGACACCCTCATCAGAAAAATGTCCAAAATGAGAAAAGTGGAGCCGAGTGCAGGATTTTCCAAGAAAAAATTGATTTATTCCTATTTGCATATAAGTTCATGTTAAAACATTGTGTTGAAATTGCATTGTTCTTAAAGATTCAAGTTGTTCATAATAATATAATATTTTGTAAAAGAAAGAGTTCATCAATTAAAAAAGATTTCTGTAATAGATTTGTGTTTCTCTGCACAAATATTTGAACTTATTGCTATTTTTGGGATTTATATGCCATGAGTTTTCTGATCTGGCCCTTTTGGGATTAAAGTAGTTGGATACGGCCCCTGGACCAAAATGAGTTTGACACCCCTGGTTTAAGTGATTCAGTGCAAAAATAAATACATCACTGATGGAAATTTTGTTTTATTTATTTATATATTTTTTTTATTTAGCTTTTAATTATGTTAACAAAACAGACACTGCTTTTACCACTTATGCTAAATTAACCAAATGACCACACCTTTAAGAGAATGTTAAACTTGCAGAATGTAATTTGTGTGGAGGGGAGGGACACAGTTCCTCCTGTCCCAGAGCCTGTCCCTCAATCTGCATATAATGCAAAAAAAAAAAAAAGAATAAAATGTTAATATTGAGTGTCTTACATTTTATTGCGCTTATTTCTATTTTCACTTTCAACTTTCAAATGAGTAGAGTGGTATAGAATGTTTTCACAACTGATAAAGTGCCTAGATTATGATTTACTCTCTTTAAAATTATATTTCCTTCTGATAAAATTTCAGGTTCTGTGGCAAGGCAACTCAATTTGTACAGCAGTTTACTAAAAAAAAAAACTATCAAGGCTCACACAACAAAGATCTGTGAATGTACATGAACAAGTGAGAGGAGAGAGAGACATATTACAGCAAAGTTTCATTCATCTGAAACTATTTTCCAGACAAAATCACTGCTTCATGTTTCACAGTATAATGCAGCCACATGTTTTAGCTGTTCTAGCAACACAAGTACACTGAAGTCTATGGGCCCTATCTTGCCCCCAGTCTCAGCGCTGGCGCAAGTGCAGGGCGTGGAGTTCTTAGCTGGAGGTGTGTCGGTGCCTGAAGTGTAGCAGACGGGGGGCAGGTGTGGAGCGTTTAGTGAATTGCCAGAATCGTAAAAATAAATACCAAACGAGTTCACTGAAAAACAACATGTAACATGCTCAAGGCTTCTTTTATTTGGAAATATATTAGGATAAATGCTTAACATTCATAACATGTTTATGTGCTGTGCGAGGAGTCGTCCTGATGCCCTCCCGCAGCCCGCTCCCTGTATCGGCTCAGCTCTGCTCTGTAGTGTGGTTTGATCTGGATCTGTACAAAAGCTGCTCATTCACATGAGGCCGTTTACAGCGATGTCCTAAAGTGTTTTCTTACTCTGTGTTCTAATGCTGCGATGTCGATTTCCTCACATTCTCGCGGCCGGACTCTGTGCATGCATTCACTGACAGCTCGGGGCTGTGACAGCGGAGCAGACGCACGGATCATATCTGTGCGTAACCTCAGAAACATTTAGACAATAAACGTATTCCATAATCCATGACACTTCCACCTCTGTGGGACCAAATGCACTGGACACCCCAGAGACGAGAATGTGAGCGGTCAGCACTGGGGGCAAGATGCGGCCCTATGTGTTTGAGGAAATATACCTGACTATATGAGATTGATGAATATAGTTTACTATGAAACTTATCTCCCCCGTGGAGACAGGTGATGCTACCCGGCACAGTTGCAGGTCAGATCCTTTAAACGTCTGGCCAACAAATAGTTCACCTCTGAAGACATTTTAGATAACTTCTTTCAAGTCAGATTTTAGCCATGATGTGATAACAGACTTTGTGAGCGTTTTGTGAGCATTTGCTTGAAAATCCACCTTCCCCATGTCCACTAGATGGAAGCGTTGACTGTACATTTTACATTCCACAGCCTGTGTCCTGCTGTTTATTCAAGTGTCCAGTATTTACATGTGTCATTATGCTCCTGTTGCCTGATTGGTCTCTTCATGGACTCCAGCATCTGCAGCTCAAACTCATGTCCCTCTGTCCATCACAAAAACAAAAAAAAAAACACACACACACACACAGAACTGAAAACCCCCTTTTAAAATGCACTTCAGAGTAGAAAACTGTTGTAATAAAACTTCTTGTACAATTTGGTGAGAAGGAAATAAGAGTCATGAGTCCATCTGTCTTTGTGTTTTTTTTATTCTTGCATTAATAAGGGAAGAAGTTACAGTTTAACAGTGTGACCACCTTTTCCACAGGTAGAAGTACATAGAAGAACAGCAGTGTTACAGGGAGTACAGGTCCCATGGTTAAAGCATTACAGCATGATCATTATCTTAGCAGGTAAATGATCAAAACTAAAGTTACTGTAACATAAGAACATGGCTAAAATAAGAAATGCCTGTCAGAATATATGCTGTTGCCATTACACAGTTCACACAGATTTGGAGAGCTTTAAGAGTGTAGTATTTTGCAAGTAGCAGTACTTTTACTTGTGTTATTTTTCATCAGTGACTTTTTTGTTGTATATGCTCACAGTGATTTAACAAAACTTCAATCCAATTACAAAAAAAGCACTGTGATCTAGTAAAGAGCATGAAGCATAAAGAGGGTTGAGGATCTAAAGACAAGAGTCATGCATTGGCTTTATTTTTATATTTGTTTAATTTCAACATTTTTGGGAACAACTAAATCCTAAAGTTTTTTTTTTTTGTTTTTTTTTTCCATATAGACATAGATTTAGATATTTTTGTTTAGTTTCTGTGATAATTTGGGAGTAACATTTTTGTATTTTGTATTTTCTCCTTTGGATTCTCATCCCTCAGTATCAGTTTATTGTATTACACACTGCTTTTTTTACGACTCCTCCCACAGCTCCTCCAATTAATCCACCTATTATCGCCCCAATCGGCCCTAAGACTGAACCAACTGCTGCCCCTGTTCCAGCACCAGCCATAACATTCCCTTTCGTGAAGTCATTTGACATCTCCGCTTCCTTCCGAATCTCAGCGCGTATTTCCTCACTTATTTCCTCGTATTTCTTCTTCTCTTGGTCTTCTAACTCTTTTAAACGTCGTTCCTCCTCTTTCTTGATGGCCTCCTCTGCTAGCTTGAACATCTCATTGGTGTAATACCTTCCTCCATTATTTTCTATCATCTTCTCAATTTTATCCAAAAATGTATCTACTTGTTTCTCGTCTTTGATTTTATTGTTGAAGACGTGATAGCGGTTGTGGCATGTCTGGATGAACTCTGATAAATCTTTATTTGCCTTTATGAAAGACTCAATACTACCATCCTCTAGATCATCACCGCGTGTGAACAAAACCATGGTGTAGTTTGCTGCCTCTTCTCCGAAGACTTTCTGGATAATTTCAACAGTATTTTTCTCTTCTTCGGTGAACCTTCCAAGCTGTACACAGATCACAAATGCATGTGGACCAGGCGCACACAGGGAAATGCACATTATGATTCGCTCCACAATTTCTTCTTGGGTAAAGTTTGTGTCGAAAAGCCCTGGAGTATCGATTACAGCAATTTGTCGACCAGCAATGGTTTCTTCATCTTTATGGCATTCGGCTGTGACAGAGGAGGGACACAGCTCCGACACAAACGCCTTTCGTCCAAGGATGGTGTTCCCAACAGCGCTCTTCCCCACTCCAGTTTTCCCCACCAGAACGAGTCTTCGGCCTGTCACAATAAAAATAAAAAACAATTCACACCCGTGAGAATACTGAGTATCAACAGAATGTGATACAGCAGCAGTTTTACATTTTATTATTTCATTAAGTAATTTCTCAATAGATCTGAATAGCAATTGAAAAAAAAAGAAAAGAACTCCTGTAAATTCACTTGTATTTAGTTCAGTTTTTGTTGGGTAACTAAAGGGTCACAGTGTAGTTACCATGGTAAAGCTGTTATTTTTTTAGCCTAAATGATGTAGCTTCAGTTCAGTCCCTTTATCTAAGTCTGCATCTGTGATAGAGGTGGGCTTATAAATCAGTTTGGTTTCTTTAATTGTTGTGTAAATGTTCTGATGCCAGTTTATTTTATTAACTTGACTGAAATATTTATATGTGATTGTGGACATACATTGTTTAACAGCCATTCACATGCTGATTATATGTGTTAGACCTCACTACTCTTTTACAATCATTTCAGTCAGTAATATCATTTAAATGTTTTTATAAACCAGACAGACAGAAAAAACATTAAAGCTCCATAAAACTATTCAAGTGTCCTCCTTCCTCTCTGACTGTAGCACTGTTTTGGATGAAATGTCCCATCATACATTGCATAGTCCTCCTGTTATATTTACAGAACAAACAATGATTGACCAATTCAACAAAGCAGTCTGTACAAGGTCATCTATATTCCGATATTTTAGTTTTACATTATAATTGACAGAAATGTTTAAAGGGCTCATATTAGACTATTTTCTGGTCTATGGTATAATGCTGCTTCCTCATCAAAAACATACCTGTTTCATCCACAATATTAATTTAATTGACTGTACTGTAGGTTAGGCAGCACTCACAGTCTTCATGTACATATCTACAGAAACTAGAAGGCCTAAGCTTTAAAATGGTGCCTCACACAAGCATGTGGGTTCTAAGGTTTTCTTTTAATAAGCTATGGCATTTGGGTATGTAGTGCTATTGTGCACACACCAAAATGAGGTGGGTGGTAACAGGTTAATGCAGTCTTGTTGTGGACATTATGCCTGCTTGTTACCATGGAGATTTCATTGCTTTAGCTGGAATATTCAGCAGTATATCATTAAACTTATTTATATAACCTACATTTTATTTTATTTTATTACTCAAAAATACCTTGAAATAAACATGATTTCTTATTGTGAGTGGGGTCACCTCTCCATAGATCTGACCTGTAAACACGGCCTGGTTGTGCCACTGGCTTGTCTCCAAGGAGATAGACAAGTTTAATGCCATACTGATCTGATACTTATCGCTCCCAGCAGAAAAGTTACATAGTACATCTTTAATACTACCAAGAAACTTATGCCCCAAAAATCTCTATGCATTAATGTTCAAATTGCCTATATGTAAATGACCTTGCATTTTATTATCCTTACTATAATAAATGAATGTTAGATTAGCAGCATCTGCTCTTGCTTTGTCTTCTAAAGGGTCACAGTGACAGATTTAAATTTGGCATTTGCCACGAATAAACAACAACCATCACCAAATTAATTTATCCCCCCTAAAACACATCACAGTATCATAATAACAATAATGACAACAGCAGAGGTGGACGGCTCTGCAGTGATCCCACACCAGACTAAGAACACCTTTGAAACTGTGGACATGGTGATTTGGGATTATGACCAAATTAAAGTGAGATTCGACCAGGTTTTGTGATGGTGTCGTATTTTCATTTCGATCTCTCAGTCTGGAATGAGCTGTAGATGTTCAGACTATAATATATAATAAAGATATAAAAAATAAAGATATAAACCCATTATAAAGACAACACATTTACTATGTTTTAGCTTCAAATGATAAAATTAAAGTCTAATTAAATCAATATTGCTTAATTTTGCTTAAACTGCTGAAATCATGTTTTGTTTTTTTTTCTCTTCACATAATGTGAGATATATGGGCTATGTAAAAGACATTAACATCTTCAAAGGTGCACAGTGTAACATTTCCAGTGGAAGGTAAGATACCTGCTTGTCTCCATGGAGATGTTATTGCTTTGCTTTCACAGTATGACATTAACCTTATCCATGTCCCTGGTGACAAGCACGAGACCCTGCTAAATGTAAGAATATCTGCATTTTATGTATTTGAACAATAAACACAGACTGATATATTTAATGCCATACAGTGGAACATTCCAGCCAAAGATATAATATCTTCATGAAAGATGCAGGTTGTGGACCCCCCACCAAAAAAGTTAAAATGCACCATTAAGAATTTAAATTTTTTAAGACACCAGATCTCCTCAGTCCTGCAGACTGGTGATGGAAGTGTGATGTCAGTCAGTGGTTACAGTCATGGTCCATGCTCACCACCAGCAAAGGACGCATGCTGTGAACTTATCAAGTGTGGATGCAGAGTAGTCTGTGCTGGGTGAAGCAAGTGTGCAAAGGCAGATTTGACATGTACACGTTCATCATGCAAATTATGGCAGCAGCTGCACTTAAGAGCACTTTGAATAAGTTTTAACAATTTAAGGTAAATCTCTGTTAAGTGTTTGAGGTTAAGCGTCACTTCCATGCAGCATTTAATTTTCATTATGATATGACACTTACAGATCTTTAGAGATGGTTAAATGTTTTTGTTATCAAAAAACCCAATAAATATTGGCTTTGAAAGATAAAATATTGTATTAACTTGGATTTCAGCCACAGGGAACCCACACAGCCCTTACATTCTGGAGGAATGTGACATGTGATGTGACCTCCTTAATGCTTTGGAATTTATGAAAAACAGTTGTTCAAACAACTGTGATTAATACATGGCTTCAAAATAAAATAAATGAATGAATGGTGCAGTTGTATAATAAGACTATGAGTTGTTTGGTGTCCTTTAATGACTATGATAAACAGGCTATAAACAATATGAGGAAGAGGGTGCGTGGGTCTCGAACTCACATTAGCAGTGAAGAAAAATAATAAGTCCAATGTTCATACCTCCAAACTACACCAACACATCTTAAATCTTTTTCAGCACCTATATCTGTCATGTGTGTTACAATCACATTGGAGGCATGTTAACTTGTGAAAGCTACATTTAACACGAAGTTAGCACTGTTTTTAAAAGTGCAAGTCTGTCCTGTACCATGTGAATCGTGCGTGCATTACAGCACTGAACTAAAGTCTGCACAGGGGTACATGATGGTGTTTTAAAAGGCTACATCGCAAACTTTGCTTCCATGTCTTAATGTGACACCTGGCAGAGCATTTTATCTTGTGACACCCACTTTGGACAATTTACCACTCTTATTAAAATTGTTTGTGCTGTGTCCTGTGCTGTCTGCTGTGTGAGTGAGTCACCCTGTGTCGCTATAGTCCAAATTACCAAACCTATGTTCTTGTCGAATCTGCAAATGAAACGGTACGTCAGATACAACTGATAAAACATCTTGGCGTGCATATGCCTGATGTGGCCTGAGGCGCAAATACGTAAACACCAGAGTAAACAAATCACATCTTGACATGATCACACATGGAGAACCGGACACCGCACGTCCTCCGCCTGTTTTTATCTGTTTTTGCTGTGGAGTCTTATTTCATTTTGAAGCCTACATTAGCACCACCCTATACCCCCATCCACGTGACCTCTCTGCCAATGAGTACCTGTAGAAATTAAGGCACCTGGAGCAGGGCGGGTAGAGAGGGAAATAAAAAGGGGAACATAAGCCTGACCAAGAGAGTGGGCCTGGAGTTGAGAGCACACTGCTAAAGAGCAGCCACCGCCATAAGTCAGATCACGGGCCGGATCGGAGCACCACAACACCGGAGTAACGCAGAGGCGGAGTGACAAACTCCGCTATGCCTGTAAGCGTTTGACACTTGTGCGTGGTGCTCCAGCTCGATGGCCTTTGGCTATATGCTACAGTGTGTTGCGCTGAGCGCTGCCGGGATATTTCCTGTGTCCAGGCACCGAGGGGACAGAGCGAGAACACGAGGACCGATCAGCAACCAAAGAAGGGCACCACGATGCTGAATCCAGTGAGGAGTGAGGAGGACCCTTTCGACAGGAAGCTGTTGGAGAAACTGTCTATTGTGGGAACGCCCTTTTATATTTCCGCAGAAGAAATGCCCATTTGTTGCTGCAGAGGCTCTACACGGATTCTCTCTCCCCTTGATTTTAAGTTACAGACATTTTAACCCAATTCGGCTTTAAGTTTACATTTTTAACAATAATCAAACCATGGGACATTCCAATAGAAAACATAAAAGGAGATTAGGAAAGGAAGGATAATCTCTGTACAAATTATATTCCATTAAATACATTGTAAGAAAATGTATTTAATCTTGTATTAATCATGAGGTAATACATTAAGACTGCAAATTATTGCAAAGTTAAATTTGTAGTTTCAGACAAAATAATCTTAAAGTCTGACCTGAACTCATGTTGGAAAAGTCTTTAGTAGACATTGTCCATGTGCTTCAGTCTGGTCCAATGTCTCCTGCTCCTGTCTGCTCTTCTCTTTTAAACAGTGTGGGTGTCAAACATACAGCCCGGGGGCCGGATTCGGCCCTCCAAGACCTTTAATGTGGCCCTCGGCTGTAATTTTCTGCGGTGCTGAGCATAGCAGCATCTCCAGTGTCTCCGTGCGTGGCCCCTCCCACCAGAGCAGCACAAATGAAGACTTGCATCTTTCCAAACGCTCTTAAAGGACGATCGTTTTGACTGTTGACTGTGACACACCCTCATTGAGCAAAATGTCAAAAATGAGAAAGTTGGACAGCGAATTTTTCCAAGAAAAATTGACTTATTCCTATTTGCATGCAAGTTAATGTTAAAACATTGTGTGTCGAAATTGCATTTTTCTTAAAGTTTCAGGTTGTGCATAATATAATATTTTGTAAAAGAAAGAGTTCATCAATTAAAAAAAGATTTCTATAATAGATTTGTGTTTCTTTGCACAAATATTTGAACTTATTGCTATTTTGGGGTTATATATGCCATGAGTTTTCTGATACGGCCCCTTTGGGATCAAAGCAGGTTGGATACGGCCCCCGGACTAAAATGAGTTTGACACCCCTGGTCTAGAGTCTAGTTTCACTTTCAGTTTTGTTACGTCACACTCTGCTTCCGAGAAACGATCTGATATAAAGGAAATCCTGCTGGGGGATATTTAGTCCATATTATTCAAGATATTCCATGGAATAAAATCTGTATAAATTTCTCCTTTTAGGTTTCTATTACTGCTGTGTTTGGTTTTTAGGGCGACTTTTTGACAATTTGCCCTTCAGATAGATTCCGATGTTCAGAAAATGTTCAGAAATGCATCAGGATGGGTGGGATGGCACGATGACAGCAAGGAATATTGTGGCTGGTACTACAACAAGGGCATTAGTTTGTTCACTCCATGGTCCTTTTTGGGCATTAGTAGGTGCAATAGTTGGAGGGGTAACTGGAGGAAGGACTGGACGAGTCGCAAATGGGCCATGTGACTGATACTGAGGGATGAGAATCCAAAGGAGAAAATGCAAATATTGAACAAGTTTGTTCTTATACTCCCAAATTATCACAAAAATTATATGACAAAAATATCTATGAAAATCGTTCACATTTAGGATTCAATGTGAACACTGCAATAAAATAAATAATAATAATAAATAAATACATAAAAATCACTGGTGGAATATTGTATAATATAATATATATATTATATATATATATATATGTGTGTGTGTGTGTGTGTGTGTGTTGTGTGTATGTATATATATATATATATATATATATATATATATATAATATATATATATATATAATATATATATATATATTTAATGAATGTTTATTTATTTATTTATTATATTTTTTTAAAAAGACACTAATTTCACCACTTATGCTAAATTAACCAAATGATGAAACACACCTTTAAAGAGAGGTGAGACTGATGAATACAGTTTACTATGAAACTTATCTCTGCCATGGAGACAGGTGATGCTACCCGGCAAAGTTGCAGGTCAGATCCTTTAAAACGTTTGGACAACAAATAGTTTGTCTCTGAAAACATTTTAGATAAGTTCTTTCAAGTCAGATTTTATCCATGATGTGATAACAGACTGGAGTGTCTGAATCCTGTTTAGTGCTCTGTGCATAAAAACTGAGTAAATGACTCTGTGATGGAGAGAAGGACATGAGTTTGGGGCTGCAGAGGCTGGAGTCCATGAAGAGGAAGAGGTAAAATGTATAGTCAAGGCTGTCATCTAGTGGTTAAAGAGTGGAAGATATGTCAAAGATAAGTGTCAGGTGAAGCAGTGGATTCCATCTGTGGACAAGGGGAAGGTGGATTCTGAAGCAAACTTTCACCAACCCCTGCATCTTCACAACCAATGATCAACATTCAAGTTCAAGTCCCCAAAATGTTCTTTTGTCCGGTGAAGGTGCAGGAGTTGGTGAGAGTTTGCTTGAAAATCACCTTCCCCATGTCCACTAGATGGAAGCGTTGATTGTACATTTTACATTTTATTTGAGTGTCCAATATTTACGTGTCATTTATGTGTCATTATGCTCCTGTAGCCTGATTGGCCTCTTCATGGACTCCAGCCTCTTGAGCTCAAAGTCATGTAGCTCTCCCCATCGCAGGGTTAAAAATAACATAACACTCACACACACGTGCACACACACACACACACACACAGAACTGAAAGACCCCTTTTAAAATGCACTTCAGAGTAGAAAACTGTTGTATTAAAACTTCTTGTACAATTTGGTGAGAAGGAAATAAGAGTCATGAGTCCATCTGTGTTTATGTTTTATTTTATTCTTGCATTAATATGGGAAGAAGTTACATCTTAACAATTCGACCACCTTTTCCGCAGGTTGGTCACTCCCACACAAACCCTCACACATCCTTGAACTGCACATGATAGAAATAAGGAGACCATAGAAGTACATAGAAGAACAGGAATGTTACAGGGAGTACAGGTCCCATGGTTAAAGCATTACAGTGTAATCATTATCTTAGCAGGGAAATGATCAAAACTAAGGTTATTGTAACATAAGAACAAGGCTAAAATAAGAAATGCCTGTGAGAATATATGCTGATGCCATTACACAGTTCACACAGATTTGGAGAGCTTTAATTAAGAGTGTAGTATTTTGCAATAACAGTACTTTTACTTGTGTTATGTTTCCATCTTTGACTTTTTTTTGTTGTTGTATATGCTCACAGTGATTTTAAAAAAAGCACTTACAAAAAAAGCACTGTGATCTAGTAAAGAGCATGAAGCATAAAGAGGGTTGAGGATCTAAAGACAAGAGTCATGCATTGGCTTTATTTTTATAGCAGTTTAATTTCAACATTTTTGGGAACAACTAAATCCTAAATGTAGTAGTTTGTTTTTTTATAGATATTTTTGTCGTGTAGTTTCTGTGATAGTTTGGAAGTAAAAGGAGCTCATTACACATTTTTGTATATGTATGTTCTCCTTTAGATTCTCATCCTTCAATATCAGTTTATTGTATTACACAGCAACCAGGTTCCTCGTCCAGTTTCTTTGAAACTTGTTTCTTTAATTTTTCTCGCGTATTTCCTATGTTCGCGTATTTCTTTCTCTATTTGCTTGCGCATTTCTTTCTCTTTCTTGCGCATTTCTTTCTCTTTCTTGTGCATTTCCTCGCGCATTTCTTCCTCGCGTTTCTTCTCTTGTTCTTGTAACTCTTTTAAACGTCGTTCCTTCTCTTTCTTGATGGCCTCCTCTACTCTCTTGAACATCTCATTGGTGTAACACCTTCCTCCATTCTCTTGTATCATCTTCTCAATTTTATCCAAAAATGTATCTACTTGTTTCTCGTCTTTGATTTTATTGTTGAAGACGTGATAGCGGTTGTGGCACGTCTGGATGAACTCTGATAAATCTTTATTTGCCTTTATGAAAGACTCAATACTATAATTGCCTAGTTCATCACCGCGTGTGAACAAAACTATGGTGTATTTTGCTGCCTCTACTCCGAAGACTTTCTGGATAATTTTAACAGCATTTTTTTCTTCTTCGGTGAACCTTCCAAGCTGTACACAGATCACAAATACATGTGGACCAGGCAAAGACATAGAAATGCACTTTGTGATTCGGTTCACAATTTCTTCTTTCTTAATGTTTGTGTCGTAAAGCCCTGGAGTATCGATTACAGCAATTTGTCGACCACCAATGGTTTCTTCATCTTTACGGCATTCGGCTGTGACAGAGGAGGGACTCAGCTCCGACACAAACGCCTTTCGTCCAAGGATGGTGTTCCCAACAGCGCTCTTCCCCACTCCAGTTTTTCCCACCAGAACGATTCTTCGGCCTGTCGGAATAAAAAAAAAAAAAAACTATTCACATCCATGATAATACTGAGACAACAGAATGTGATACAGCAGCAGTTTTACATTATTTCAAGTCATTTCTCAATAGATCTGAATAACAATTTAAAATGTAGCTCCTGTAAATTCTCTAGTATTTAGTTGAGGCATTGTTGGGCAGCTAAAGGGTCACAGTGTAGTTACCATGTTCTGATGCCAGGTTATTTGATATTTTAACTTGATTGACATTTATATGTGATTGTGGACATACATTGTTCAACAGTCATTCACATGATGATTATATGTGTTAGCCAACTCTGTTACAATCATTTCAGTTAGTAATATTATTAACTAACTGATAAAATAAAATAACACTTTTTTGGGCAATTTTACTCAAGCATCACACACATTTATAAACCGTTTTAATGTAAAAAATTCTGTTTGATTGTATTTCCTGGACCCTGCCTTGTTCCTCCACCAACACGATCACTTTGTAATAGGGCTAATGGTATCGTTCCTCTGCCATTTTAATGGGTGTGGTTTTGCTTTGTGTGGGTTTTTCTTTGTTTGGTTTGGGCCAATTGGTCATATAATTGGCAGCTTGGGGGCGGTGCCTATTGCATAAAAACCCTGTAGACCTTTTCCCTCGCTCTCTCTCACCCCTGGTTGTTCTTTGTTCAGGAAGACATATCGGCCACGCCATGGGGCACGCTGGGGACAAGGTGCTACACCAGCCGTACCAGCCGTCATTTGCCTGCCACAGAGTCACGTTAGCCAACTGAAGGCCCAGACCTCTGGACTAGCTCGAACTTTGTGAACCTTTTTGATGGTCTCAATAGACTTCTCCCACTCCTATAACCTGTTGATTCCCCTTTTAAAACGGCCGTAGATTATTGTAATAAAATCTTTAACACTGAACTTGGCTGTCTATAGTCCTCTGGTGGTCCAACATATCTGTTGTGCTGGGCGGTCAAGCCGTTGGGGGGCGTTACAACTTACCGTATGTCATGATGATGTTTGCAATTTCCTGTCACTAAACAAAGATGACTAAGAATAACCAAACCAATTCAGAACTATGCAATCCCTGTTACACAAGTGCCTCACCTGCACTGACTTTATTTAAAAATACTACTGATCATGATCTGAAGATTTGAGTCTTTATTTTAGTAATATATAGTTTCTGTCACCTGGTTGTTTCCATGGATATGTCATTGCTCTGTCTGGAAAGTTCCACAGTATGACATTAAACAGATCTATCTTACATTTATTAAATTACAGGTGGTTTTACAGCTCAACAATATTTAGAAAAAACAGACATTCTGAATGTGAACAGATCTGATTTGACCTGTAACTTGGTCTGGTTTGGTCTCCATGATGACAGAACAATTTAATGTCATACAGAGAAACATTCCAGACAAAGTGAGAGCATCTCCATAGAGAATAGTGCACTATGTAACTGTCACCATGGAAAATGTTATAGTTTTATCTGGAATGTTCCACAGTATGGTATTAAAATGGTGGTGCCAGTAGGTCAAATAACAGGTAACCCTCTCCACCACAAAAGTGACACTGTGCATCTTTAAAACACTGAATCCAGTCTGTGATGAATGAGGAACTGAATCATTTGGACAACAGTATCTCAAACATCAGTCTGGTCATAGTTGGTAAATTATTATTGCATTTTCTTCCTTTTTAGTTTCATTGTTTAAAAATAAATCTTTGTTCATATTACAAGCTGAAATTGTGTTTATTCAATTTTATAGCCAAAAACAGACCTGGAGTTATGTTTTGTTTCCCACATGTTTGAGTAATACAACATTATTAGTTTGTCTACATCTCCAAAGCTCAAAATGCTCCTGTTCCTGTCCTCTGCTTTGTGATGTCATGAAGTGGTAGTTTTCATGTTAACTGTAACATTTTACCTTTAGTTCAGTAGAGACAGGAAATTACAGGGCTGAAATTATGTAAAAAACTCAACTCCAGGTCTGTTTTTGACAAGGAAACAACATTATAAGATAAATCAGAAAACAATATATAGGCCCTTTAAACATGTACATCTTGCACTTATCACATTAAAGGTGTTTGTAGTGCTGAAAGAAATACCTTGAAATACCTTCAGTTTCAACACGAATTGTTGGCGATGTTTATTTGTGTATCTACTTTCTTTTTTGGCATCCTCTTCACTGATCTGACCTGTAACTTTGCCTGCTGGGGTTAACTGCTTCTTTCCATGGAGACTGATTATTTTTCTTGTTTTTAAAGTCATACTGTGGAACATTTCAGGCAAAGTGGTGATCCAGCTCACAGTAAGAACACCTCTTACATATGTTAAATACAATACTGTGGAACATTTGAGGCAACAAAATCAAATTTCCATGGCTGGTGGTGGAAGAACTACTCCATTTCGTTACTTAAGTAAAAGTAAAGATACTGGACGAAAATCTACTTCAGTAAAGTTCAGATACCCAACCTTAAAAAGTTACATAGTGCATCTTTAACACTGTAAACTTAAATGAGAATCTGACCTGTGTTGTCTCCACTCATGTTGAAATCGTCTCCAGTCTTTAGTCCACCTGCTTCGGTTGTTGTCTTATGGTACTTCAAGTGTGTCTCCTGCTCCTCTCTGCTCACCCTTTATATGATCTGCCAATGGGGGTTTCCTGTGTTCTCTGACAAACCAGTATTTTAGATCCACATACTTAAAACATAAGTCATACAAGAGGGGACGCTGCAAAACTCTCCTTATGATTGGCTCATTACGATGAACAGTCAGAAGCCGACTACCTTTGGTGAAGATGGAAGTTCTGATCGAAACATACCAAAGTAATACATCATCTCTAACCTACTGCCTAAATGAATAAATAAATTATTAACTTCATCAAAGTTTCAATCTGGCTCTAAAATGTTGCAAACACCCACTTGCCAGTTCAAAGATATGTTAATGTTTGATGCAAATCTCAGCAAAATTACAGGAATTTTAAAACACATGGAACTGTATTTGTGAGAAAAGTGTGATTTGAATCCTTATATATATTATTCATTGACATTCTAGTTCTGTGCTGTACTGAGCTGGCAGTGACAGTCCACAGAAATGGAGTTTATCTTAACACTGATATGTACAAAACTGATTAATATGAAACTAAAAGGTTACTTAACATTGTCTACCTTGTCTTTTATGGTGTAAATAATCTGTAGCTTTCTCCTTTATATTGATGCATTTGGTTTTTAGACTGACTTAACGTAACTGATGTAATAATGTGATACTGAGAAATATCACATATAAATCACTATACAAACGTACTGAGAAACTGCTGAATCAAATCATGTATGGCCTTGATATCTTTATCTTTTGATTCTCATCAAGTTTTGCTTCTGAGTCTGTACTTCATTCTTGTGTAACAACACTGAGCACTGCTTTTACGCAAGACACCATGGTGAAGCAAAGACGCACGACTATACTGTGTAGTACATAAACTGTCACACAATGTAACATGTGTGGAGGGGACTCAGAAGCAGTGGTCCTCCTGTGTGCTCTAATCTGAGCTGACCAAGAAGTACCTTCTTTTATTTTCACTTTTATTTTAATTGTTAAAATGTGATTTATCTTGTTCAGGCACAAGAAAGAACATGTTATGGTCCAGTGTCATTTATTACTTGTTTGCCATGTATTCTGATCATTTTTATGCAGACACTGTTAAAAATAATTTGAATTTAAAGTAAAACACTGCAACCTAATACTGAGTTTTATTATGCTGTTTTCTATTTCCTTGTTGTCACTCCAAATCATTGACAGTAGGGACTGAACATATTTCCATTGGTGTGAGTTGTTTCACTACAGATAATGTGTGTATTCTGTGATTTACTGCTTTACAGAAATATTGTTTTAATTTAAGTTATAGTAGTGCAACTCACTTTTTTTCCCCCTTCCTTTAATGAATACAAAAGTTACAATTAAAACAAGAGTGTTTCAACTACAAAATAAAAATTCCATGGTCTTATGACCGTTGGAAAATTGTTCTAAACCCCTCCATCCCCCTCTCATTCAAAAGGGAAGTTTGCAAGGGGCTCATCACTGAGCTGTGCTCTCAGGAACTCCTTGAATTCGCCCATTGTTCCAGAGTGTGAAACACAGTCAGGAGGATTCAACACATTGAGCATCCTAGTGGCCAGAGTGAGACATGGCCTCTGCATGATGGCAGCACAGGGCAGGGGCCTATCAGGAAACACATAGGTGGCCCGCCGTACATCATAAGGCAGGACTTTCTGTGTAGGCTGGTACTGTCCTAGAGCTGCTGGCAAAAGTCTGTGATACAGTTTAAATGCAAGACATGCCAGTGCAAAATTGCATCTGGTTTGCAGTGTGGTCAATCCAAGTGCTGTATAGTGCTCTGGTGTTATATGGGCACGATACAGCAGATGGAGAATAATGCGCATGCATCGCCGCTGCAAACTTTCGAGACAGTTCATCAGAGTCTTCGTGCACCACATATTACACTGAGCAGTATTCTAGCGAGATCTAATATAGGCCTTGTAAAATGCGTACAGAAAATCATTACTTCTTGTGGCAGCTTTGTTTGAAGTAATNTGAAGACTGACTTTATGACCTTCAGTTATCTTATTATTTTAAAGTTTGAATCAGAATTAGTTTTCAGTCAGTCTACTTTATTTAACCTTAACCATTTAAAGTTAATTACAATGCATGAATATAAATCAAAAGTGCAAGTTGAAGCAAATACATCAACACTTCATATGTACTGTAATATGTAATGGGCTCTTGAAAAACAAACACAACTGTATGTAGTCTATGTAGTCTGTACTCACTGCTGAGCTCCTTCTGCCTGTTTGACTCATGTGTGAAATCCTTTGCTGTTCACTTTTTGGTGCTCAAAAATTCTGATTGGCCTTTCTGTTTGAGTTTCTATATTGAAAGTGACAGTTTGGGCCACAGTCCTTTAGCATGTGAGAACAGGCCTCTAGTACTAAAATGAGAGAATGTCCAGTGTTCGGAGAAAGAGAGAAAGAGCCTGAGAACTGAATGAACTGATGAGAAATGTTCCAAATGATGTGATCACTTGTGCCCCAGTTCAGATACAGATTTGAACCAAATGATCAAACTAAACCTAGTTTCACAAACTTTGCTTAAAACAATTGAAAAAGAGACTGATCTCAAAAAGTTGTTTGGTGTTATCATTGCTATGGTGTCAAAGATAATTATTATTTTATTTTATCATTATTATTATTATTATCATTGTTATTATTATTATTATTATTATTATTATTATTATTATTATTATTATTATTATTATTATTATTATTATTATTTTGCTTTGGCAGCATTAAATCACCTTTATTTTTAAATGGCTGATTTTTAGCTTCATCGGAATTAATAGATACTGCACAGAACTCTCAAGCTCCCAGGACCCGAGCTGAATGAGGGTGAGAGAGACCTACCACCGTGGAAGGAGAGAAACACATTATATATATATATATATATATATATATATATATATATATATATATATATATATATATATATATATACTTTTTTTTTTTTTTTTTACTTTGGATAAAAGCCTTAGACAGCTTGACCTTGAATAAAATAAAAAAATAAATAAATAAACTTATAAATCAGTTCAAAGTACAAGAAATATGCAAATTATTTTTTAGAAACAGAGTCTGTGACACATTGCAAAACTGAATGTAAAACTAAATCTTAATATCACAATGTTCATATCACCTGTAATTATTAACTTATATTATTGGTCAAAAGTTTGGACACTTTCTTTTTTTATACAGTATATGTGAAGTGTGAACTAAGTTTGTGTATGCGTGTGTATATGTGTGTGCGTATTTGTGTGCGTGTTTGGTTTGTGTGTGTTTGTGTGTGTATGTGTCTGTGTGAGAGTGTGGGGTTTGAGCAGCAGTTTCATCAGTACAGTGTTGGTTATAGGGACATTTTGGAGGGATCAGTATAATAATATTTCCATAGGAGCTACATACTATTAAACTAAATGACTAAAAATAATAATAGATCATAATAATAATACATATATCCATGTACAGAGCTACAAGTGGGAAGAGGAAGAGGTGGTGGGATACAGTTACCTTTTTCAACCAGATATTCAAATTGGTGTTTAAAGCCTCTCATTTATTTTTGCATCCAAAAGGCCTTCTCTTAAATGACAGTGTATAGTCACAATATGAGCTCAAGCACCTTAAATTACTTTTTATATGTAATTTTAATAGTCTTATAGCTAATAATAATCAGATCTTGGGTGCTCATCCAAGCTCTGTCATGGTCTGAGTCAAAACCTTATGCTTGGTTCGTTACAATAAATTGTCAAAAACCTTCTACCTTTGGCGATGATGGAAGTTATAATCGAAACAAGTAATCACCTCCAACACCATCTCTCACCAATGATTAACCCTCATCAGTACATGTGCCAAAACCTACTAATCTGTACACCTGGGGTCCACATGGACCCCAACATTATTTTATATATTTCCCATAAGTGTGCAGGTTACAGTTGTCTCCAAATTAGGTTTTTGTGTGTGACAACCTCAGATACTATAAATAAAGAAACAATGAAATTCATTTGGTATAACTTGCTTTAATTCAATGAAAAATTAATAACCTCACGTTTTTTTTCTATTTTTTCACATTTTTGTCACTTTTGTCACAAAATCATGTGTAAACTGAGGTTTTTTATGTTCTGTTGCATCATTGATGCTAACAAAGAAAAGACATCATAGGTGTTCCTTTTGGTATAGGGTATACATAATCCTTTTGGTAAAATGAGCCTCTTTGGTACTGGGGTCCACACGGACCCCACAATAACAAAAAATAAGTTTGAAGAAAATGTGGGTGTCTCATAAAAAACTAAAGCTGTGTGATCACAATAGATTGTCATATTGGCAAGAAAATCAACACGGGGCCTTCACAAATGCAATATTTACACTCCACTGCATGATTATAGGCTCTCATCACACAGAATACTGGTAGTAGAATTTATTGTCAATGCAAGTGTAAGTCTTTCTTAACTTAAATGAAACAATATGCAACTCTGGTATCTGTCAGAGAAATATCAAAAACAAATAATAACCAGATGTTAGACACCTGGTTCGGCTGGGGTCCACGTGGACCCCAAATGAATTTTTTTTATTCACACCACATAAAGAATGGTAAAGAAATGAGCTCTTGTGCATGTGATAGCAACAAGTTGGGTGACAACCACCTAAATGGACCAAGAAAAAGACACAACGCTATCAGAAATATGGCAACGTTTTTACCCCTGGGGTCCGCATGGATGATTGTAAAATGAACTTGAATTTAAAATGTCAGAGCCCATTGTATCTGCTCGACTGTTCATGTGAGCAGTGATGACATACAAACAGTCTGATCACACATTTTGTATTGTCAAGGAAGAAACCACAAGCACAAAAAATAAACTCCAATAGACTCAATAATCTCTTCTCTCTCTTTGTAGCTGCTGCTGGGATGACAGTTTACTATACATATAATACATATTATAAAATAACTGACAGCACTTTTGACAGTTACTCAGTTCTTCAAAAAATTATAATATCTATATCACCAATTATGTGAGTAACTTGGAGTTTGTTTGTTTTTTGTTTGTTTGTTTGTTTGTTTGTTTTTCACTTTTGTACATTTATCAGTTGAAAACAGCTCACACAAAACTTTAAACACATTTGTTGTTTTCATAAAGAAAATATAATCTCAGCAAGTTTCACCAGACTCTGGTCATGTGTTATTTTGCGTGACAGAGTTATTACTGATGTTAAAAAGCAGACACTTCTTTCAACACTTATCCAAATGATGAACACACCTTTAAGAGAATGTTAAACTTGCAGAATGTAATTTGTGTAGAGGGGAGGGACACAGATCCTCCTGTCCCAAAGCCTGTCCCTCAATTTACATATAATGAAAAAATGAATAAAATGTTAATATTGAGTGTCTTACATTTTATTGTGCTGACTTCTATTTTCACCTTCAACTTTCAGTTGAGTAGAGTGGTATAGAGTGTTTTCACAATTGATAAAGTGCCTAGATTATGATTTACTGTTTTAAAACAATGTTTCCTTCTGATAAAATTTAGGGTTATGTAGCAAGGCAACTCACTTTGTACAGCAGTTTACTAAAAACAAACAAACAAACAAAAAAACAAACAAACAAAAAAACTATCAAGGACCACACACAACAAAGATCTGTGAATGAACATGAACAAGTGAGAGGAGAGAGACAGACAGACAGCAAAGCAAAGTTTCATTCGTCTGAAACTATTTTCCAGACAAACTCACTGCTTCATGTTTCACAGTATAATGCAGCCACATGTTTTAACTGTTCTAGCAGCACAAGTACACTGAAGTCTATGTGTTTGAGGAAATACACCTGACTATATAAGACTGATGAATACAGTTTACTATGAAACTTATCTCTGCCATGGAGACAGGTGATGCTACCCGGCAAAGTTGCAGGTCAGATCCTTTAAACATTTGGACAACAAATAGTTTGTCTCTGAAAACATTTTAGATAAGTTCTTTCAAGTCTGATTTTAGCCATGATGTGATAACAGACTGGAGTGTTTGAATTCTGTTTAGAGCTTTGTGCATAAAAACTGAGTAAATGACTCTGTGATGGAGAGAAGGACATGAGTTTGGGCTGCAGAGGCTGGAGTCCATGAAGAGGAAGAGGTAAAATTTATAGTCAAGGCTGCCATCTAGTGGTTAAAGTGTGGAAGACATGTCAAAGATAAGTGTCAGGTGAAGCAGTGGATTCCCTCTGTGGACAAGGGGAAGGTGGATTCTGAAGCAAACTTTCACCAACCCCTGCATCTTCAAAACCAATGGTCAACATTCAAGTTAAAAGCCTGTCCCCAAAATGTTCTTCTTTTCTGTGAAGGTGCAGGAGTTGGTGGTTGGTGAGAGTTTGCTTGAAAATCCACCTTCCCCATGTCCACTAGATGGAAGCGTTGACTGTACATTTTACATTCCACAGCCTGTGTCCTGCTGTTTATTCAAGTGTCCAGTATTTACATGTGTCATTATGCTCCTGTTGCCTGATTGATCTCTTGATGGACTTCAGCATCTGCAGCTCAAACTCATGTCCCTCTGTCCATCACAAAAAAAAAAAGAAAAAAAAGACACATACGGAACTGAAAACACCCTTTTAAAATGCACTTCAGAGTAGAAAAATTGTTGTAATAAAACTTCTTGTACAATTTAATGAGAAGGAAATAAGAGTCATGAGTCCATCTGTCTTTGTGTTTTTTTATTCTTGCATTAATAAGGGAAGAAGTTACAGCTTAACAATCTGACCACCTTTTCCACAGGTAGAAGTACATAGAAGAACAGCAGTGTTACAGGGAGTATAGGTCCCATGGTTAAAGCATTACAGCATGATCATTATCTTAGCAGGTAAATGATCAAAACTAAAGTTACTGTAACATAAGAACATGACTAAAAAAAATAAATGCCTGTGAGAAGATAGACTATTGCCATTATACAGTTCACACAGATTTGGAGAGCTTTAAGAGTGTAGTATTTTGCAAGTAACAGTACTTTTACTTGTGTTATTTTTCATCAGTGATTTTATTATTTATATGCCCACAGTGATTTAACAAAACTTTAATCCACTTACAAAAAAGCACTGTGATCTAGTAAAGAGCATGAAGCATAAAGAGGGTTGAGGATCTAAAGACAAGAGTCATGCATTATCTTATTTTACAGCACTTTAATTTCAACATCTTTGGGACCAACTAAATCCTAAATGTAACAGTTTGTTTTTTGATAGATATTTTTGGTTGTATACATTTTTAAGGAGCTCATTACACATTTTTTATATGTATTTTCTCCTTTAAATTCTCATCCCTCAATATCAGTTTATAGTATTTTACACCACTTTTTAGATTTTTTCATTTCCTCGAAAACTTCCTGGCGTATTTGATTTTCTATTGTCTTTTTTATTTCTTTCTCCATTTCCTCGTGTTTCTTCCTTCCTCCATTCTCTTGTAGCATCTTCTCAGTTTTATCCAAAAATGTATCTACTTGTTTCTCATCTTTGATTTTATTGTTGAAGACGTGGTAGCGGTTGTGGCACGTCTGGATGAGCTCTGATAAATCTTTATTTGAATTTATGAAAGACTCAGTACTATCATCCTCTAGATCATCACCGCGTGTGAACAAAACCATGGTGTAGTTTGTTGCCTCATAGACTGTCTGGATAATTTCAACAGTATTTTTCTCTTCTTTGGTGAACCTTCCAAGCTGTACACAGATCACAAATACATGTGGACCAGGCAAAGACATAGAAATGCACTTTGTGATTCGTTCCACAATTTCTTCTTGGCTAAGGCTTGTGTCGTAAAGCCCTGGAGTATCGATTACAGCAATTTGTCGTTCACCTTCAGCTTTGTTGCATTCGGCTGTGACAGAGGAGGAACACACCTTCGACACAAATGCCTTTCGTCCAAGGATGGTGTTCCCAACAGCGCTCTTCCCCACTCCAGTTTTTCCCACCAGAACGAGTCTTCGGTCTATCGGAATAAAAAAAGCAAACAATTCACATCCATGATAATATTGAGACAACAGAATGTGATACAGCAGCAGTTTTACATTATTTCAAGTCATTTCTCAATAGATCTGAATAACAATTTAAAACGTAGCTCCTGTAAAATCCCTAGTATTTAGTTGAGGCATTGTTGGGCAGCTAAAGGGTCACAGTGTAGTTACCATGTTCTGATGCCAGTTTATTTGATATTTTAACTTGATTGACATTTATATGTGATTGTGGACATACATTGTTCAACAGTCATTCACATGATGATTATATGTGTTAGCCAACTCTGTTACAATCATTTCAGTTAGTAATATTATTTACTAACTGATAAAATTAAATATCACTTTTTTGGGCAATTTTACTCAAGCATCACACACATTTATAAACCTTTTTTAATCTAAAGAATTCTATTTGATTGTATTTCCTGGACCCTGCCTTGTTCTTCCACCAACACTGACTCACTTTGCAATGTCCTGTTACTAAACAAAGATGATAACAAAGATAAAAATAACCAAATCAATTCAGAACTATGCAACTAGACAAACACTACATCCAGTAAATCCCTGTTACACAAGTGCCTCATCACCTGCACTGACTTTATTTAAAAATACTACTGATCTGAAGATTTGAGTCTTTATTTTAGTAATATATAGATTGAAAACATTTTGTAAAAGGTGCACTATGTAACTTTTTGGTTGAGGGTCTGTCAGCTGGTTGTTTCTATGGAGATGCCTTTGCTTTGTCTGGAATGTCCCACAGTATGACATTAAACAACTCTAGTAGGGTTTCCTCTCCACAGATTTGACCTGTACCTTGGTCTGGTTTGGTCTCCATGATGACAGAAAGATTTAATGTCATACTGAGAAACATTCCAGACAAAGTGATAGCATCTCCATAGAGAATAGTGCACTATGTAACTGTCACCATGGAGATGTTATAGTTTTCTCTGGAATGTTCCACAGTATGGTATTAAACTGGTGGTGCCAGTAGGTCAAATAACAGGTAACCCTCTCCACCACAAAAGTGACACAGTGCACCTTTAACACACTGAATCCAGCCTGTGATGAATGAGGAAACTGAATCATTTGGACAACAGTATCTCAAACATCAGTCTGGTCATAGTTGGTAAATTGTTTAAAAAATAAATAGTTGTTTAATTGTTTAATTTAAATTGTTTAAAAATAAATCTTTGTTCGTTTTACAAGCTAAAGTTGTGTTTATTCAATTTTATAGCCAAAAACAGACCTGGACTTATGTTTTGTTCCCCACATGTTTGAGTAATACAACATTATTAGTTTGTCTACATCTCCAAAGCTCAAAATGCTCCTGTTCCTGTCCTCTGCTTTGTGATGTCATGAAGTGGTAGTTTTCATGTTAACTGTAACATTTTACCTTTAGTTCAGTAGAGACAGGAAATTACAGGGCTGAAATTATCCAAAAAACTCAACTCCAGGTCTGTTTTTGACAGAGAAACAACATTATAAGATAAATCAGAAAACAATATATAGGCCCTTTAAACATGTACATCTTGCATTTATCACATTAAAGATGTGTGTAGTGCTAACAGAAATACCTTGAAATACCTTCAGTTTCAACACTAATTGTTGGCGATGTTTATTTGTGTGTCTACTTTCTTTTTGGTATCCTCTTCAAATCAAATTTCACAGAAGGGGCAGCTCACTGCACAATGGTTGGCAAATAAAGATTTATCAGAGTTCATCAGGAAATGCCACAACCGCTATCACATCTTCAACAATAAAATCAAAGATGTGAAACAAACAGATCAACTTTTGGATAAAATCAAAAAATGATATAGAAGAATGGAGGAGGGTATTACACGAATGATATGTTCAAGAGAGTGGAGGAGGCCATTCAGAGTGAGAAGGAACATGTTGACTCTGAATGCACCACCAGTCCAGCAGAAAGAGTCAATTGAAAAACACATCACTGAGGTTCAGAGGAAAGCAGAAATATCGTTTGAGGTTGAACATAATAGACAGGCAAAGCTGTTTGAACATGTTGATTCGTGTTTTGTTAAATCACAGTAACAAAACATCTCATGTTGGAAATACTTTGGTGTAATAAGTCAGTGATGATAAATAACAAAATAAAAATAACTAGACTGTAAATAACAAGAAAAATGAAGAAAACCTCCTCATCAAAGCCTGATCCTGTCAGATCCCAGAAGTTCAGCAGGGCTGGGCCTGGTTTGTACTTGGATGGGAGACCACTGGGAAAATCAAGTCAGTTGCTGCTTGATGTATACTGGGGCTTTATACTCTATAAATATGCATTCATGAACAATTCAGCAAATGTGTAAGATTTAGTCTGAAGGGCTAATTGAAAAAAAAAAAAAATCAATAATAAAAAACATAACAGGAGAAAGATGTACAGATTATATCCCTTAAAATATATTGTAGAAAATGTTTTGATGAGGATTAAAATAATAATGAAAAGCATTTAATTTGCAGTAATTTTGCAGAGATTTTAATCACAAAATTATCTTAAAGTCTGACATGAACTCATGTTGAAAAATTCTAGGTAGGTGTCTGTGGCTGAGGTTTTTGCTTTCAGTTTTGTTATATGCCACACTCTGCTTCTAATAGATAGATTTAAAGGAAGACAAAACTAAATGGAAAACTAAACTGAACAGAAAATTAATCCTTAGTCACAAACACCCACTGCACTGAAGCACGAGGACGATATCAATTGAAGAATTTTTCATGAGTTCAGATCAGATTTTGTTATTATTTTAAATATGCAGAATTACTGCAAATTTAAATTTGTAGTTTGGATGCTCAGGTGTGTGATTTTAATTCTCATTTTAAATGTATTACAACAGTACAAAAATTAAAAAAAATTCTACTATATGTTTCATAGAACTCCTTTTATGTTTTCTATTACTGCTGTGTTTCATTTTAAGGTGACTTTTTAATAATTATACCTTTAGAATACATCTGATACATTTCATAAATGCATATTGTCCATGATACCATGATATGGATATAAGTGCATATAAATTAAATTAAAGACAAGAAACAAGTAGATAAATTTTTGGATAAAATTGAGAAGATGATACAAGAGAATGGAGGAAGGTGTTACACCAATGAGATGTTCAAGCTAGCAGAGGAGGCCATCAAGAAAGAGGAGGAACAATGTTTGATCGAGTTATAAGAAGAAGAGAGGAAGAAACAGGAGAAAGTGCGAGCTGAGATTCAGAGAGAAGTGAAGAAGTCAAAACAGACGTCAGGTTAGAAATGGATAAAATTGAAATGATGATACAAAAGAATGGAAGAGGGTATTACACCAATGAGATGTTCAAGAGAGCGGAGGAGGCAACTGAGAAGGAGAAGGAAAAAAAGTTGATAAAATGATAAAGACACATCGCTGAGGTTCAGAGGAAAGCTGAGATATCGACTGTAAACAGCGTTGTGCTCAAGCCTTTACAGTGCTCGGTCCAACTGGGGCGGCAGTGGGATTTGTGCTTAGTAAGAAGAAGTGAGTGATACAGTGAAATGATACTGATAACTGAGAATTCAAAGAGCTCAATAAGAGAAAATGCAAGTTTATCTATTCATGTCCTCACACCTTAGACCAGCTTTTGGTCACTTTTGGTTTTTAAATCAACTCACCTCTTCATTTTAGCTTTTCACTATGATTAATGTTGACGTTTTAGTGTCTGGTGGCTGTTTATGTATCTAAGTTTTTTGTAATGTCTATTTTATGACCTATTATAACTATATAAAGTGCATTTGAAATAAAGTTGGACTGGATCATCATCATCATCATAACATCATTTAGCAGTAAATCTAACCCTTTTTTGAAACATGCGCAGTCAGGATCTAGTGTCCATAGCTCCAATTTATTTCTCCACAAAGATGGTGTCAGGGAATTTACCCTAAGACATCAAAATACATTAAATAAAGACACACCAAAATGAGACAGTTAAAGGTAATCACTTGCGCAAGGGAGAGAGAGCTGTCAGAGCCTGTCAATACCACTGGCTGAGCCTACTCTACTCTGCCAGCTCTTCTCCCAACAGCAGTATTTATTGCAGTCATTTCACAGATAACAATACAGTACATTATGTTATATCACACAACGTTTACAATGATCACATGCTAACAATCTTTAGGCTAAACCACCCTCCCATTTCACACTTGATTACAGGCTCCAGGTGATAAACAATTTGGTCAGTTTTCTCCCAAAAACTTATGCTAACCACATGAGGGGAAAAAACCCTTAGCTGTCTTCTCATGGGCGACTCAGTAGATTAGCTTAAAGAGTCAGAAGTTCTTGAACTAGGACATATGATATACATATGGAAAAACCCAAAAAGCAATTGTTGATAACTTTAATCACACACACAAAAGATAAAGGAATTTAAATGAACACACAAATGCTTATGCATAATATTTAAAATAACACATAAATTCTTTCACAGATGGTTTCAAAAACAGAGTGAAACTGCAAAACAGAGAAAACTGTACTTAGCACAGTACAAAATATAAGGTTAGTGTGAAAGAATTTCTGTGTTATTTTAAATATTATGAATCATTTAAAATCATAATCATTTGTGTGTGTGTTTAAAGTTATCAACAATTGCGTTTTTGGGTTTTTCCATATGTATATCAATATGTCCTAGTTCAAGAACTCCTGACTCATTAAGCTAATCTACTGAGTCGCCCATGAGAAGACAGCTAAGGGTTTTTCTCCTTGCTCTCCTTGCGCAAGTATAAATTTTAACCGTCTCCTTTTGGTGTGTCTTTATTTAATGTAATTTGATGTCTTAGGGTACAATTCCCTGACAGTTAGCTTAACTACAATCCACTATCATATGAATACATAATCTTCAATAAAAACACATTTCTGATAACCATCCTTTACAAACAGAGCAAGGATTTTATAATTCTTATCTGTATAAAGGACAACTTACAGACACTGAGGTCAAAGGCACAAACAAAAAGGCAAATGTCAGAGGATGAACACATGTGCTATTGAGAGCAAATAAAACAAACATGGCTGACTTCCTGTCATGACTTCCTGTCCCTAATGAGGCCTTCAAAATAAATAACAAATGTAAATGCAATCTACTGTAAAAACAACTGTATAGAACAGATTTTTAACATATTTAAGGCAAAACATATATATTTTAGTAACATGCGTAACTTTTATGCACTTTAAAATCATAGAGAATGCTGCCATCTAGTGGTGAAGACAGGGACATGTCCTAATCCACTGCCACTCTATAAATCA